GCGCCCGGCCAATATAAGCTTGTTTTAAAACACTACAAGGCAATTGGCAGGTACTGATGCTAAAATTCAAATACATATTTTTTTCTCAGTTGAGAAAGAGTTCCAAGATTCTCTGGGCTCATTGGGCCACGTCTGGAATTTTGTGATCAGTTTGGGCCATCAAGATGGTGAGGGTTCTGGAAACCACACCCTGAAGAGACTAGTTGAAAGAACCTGGGGTGTTTGTCATGCAAAGATCCTCAACAGTGTCCTCATCTGCCAGAAGGGCTGTCACCAAGACGTAGAAAGGGAGAGGTTTGTTTAATGTCGCTCTAAAGCACGCACCCAGAATCCATGGGTAGAAGTCACAAATGGAGAATTTGCAGGAGAAAAAGTATCTTGGGGAGGGTCATGCGGAGGCTGCGGGCCCTCGTGCATCGTCAGGGGACAGCAGCACTGTTGCGTGCCAGGGCCCTGACTCGGAAGCAGCAACGGGCCCGAGGATAAATTCTCCAATTCCCCCTCCAGCGCTTCTCCTCCAGGCTCACAATGGGCAAGACACAGCAGCAGGGTGCTCTGCAAGGATTTCCCTCTACTCCTGGGCCTTGAAGCTGGAATTAGGATCGTGGCAAAAGGATGAGCCAGACACGGCACAGCTTTAATGAGTTTGTGACCAGATGAGAACACATTCGTCTGGCTCATCCGAGGCAGGAGAACAGGGTCTGGAGTCAAGGAACTTAAGGTCAATTCGTGCTGACTTTCTAAGGCTGAATCAAGGGAAGCACCAAGGTCTGGGGCAGGGAATCTGGGGCCCATTCATGATAATTTCCTAAAGTTAAATCAAAGGGAAAACATCTGGGTCTGGGGCAGGGAACCTAAGACCAATCGCCACGAACTTCCTAAAGCTAAACCAAGAGGAAAAACCCCAGCTCCTGATGCTGGGTAGCAAAGGATCAGTCTCCCTGCAACCCTCCGCTTCCACCCCGGCTCAGAGGGGAAGGGAGTGTGCCTCGGATTGCCCAGAGGCCAAGCAGGGGCCGTCCCTTCCTCTGCACAGGGGCCAATTCACCTCAGCCTTTAATTAGCCACAGACCAAATCCTTCGTCCAGAAAAGCGGTAGTCCATAGGGACCTCAAAAGGAGTATTTAAAACCCAGAGATCTTCGTAACGGCGCCCTTGTGTCTCTTGCGGCCCATTCCCACGCTGTGGAGTGCCTTCTCACTTTAATAAATCCCTGCCTTCGCTGCCTCATTCCTGTGTTCCATTCCTCTGTTACTTTATTTGTGCATATTGTTCACTTCTTTGTTCAAAACACCAAGGACCTGGACAACTCGTACTCACAGCCTTTCTTCCGGTAACACGTGTGGGGAACGCACATTGGGGTAACTGTGCATTACGACATCACCGTCTGACATCAGCTGATTACAGTGCCAAGGAAAATGCTACCTCCGCCCTTGTTATTATGTAATAGAATGGAATGGAATGGAGTGGAGTGGCATGGCATGGAATAGTATAGAACAGAATTTTTTGCAGTAAAAAGTGTCCACAGTACTGGCAGCTACAGCAATGCCCTTTCCCCAACCTCTATTGTCTTGTAAAGGGACAAGGACCTCAAGGTGCGATGCAAACAAGCCTGTGCAGCCCTGAGCTACATAACAAGGAGTTGGCAGGTCAGCGTCACGAGCAAAGAAATCGCCAGGCGACGGGTCCCAGAACAGGGGCCGTGGTTCTTCCTGCCCAAACACACCTTCCCTGCAGGAGCCCGTGTAGGTTCAGCAAAGGGCCAAACAGTGGCCTTGGCGTTCTCGATTATCCAGAACTCTGTGGATGGTGAAAAGGGGCCAGAACACATCAGGGACTGGGTACCTGGAGCAGTGGGCAGGGCATGGCGCCCCCCACAGGCATGATGAAGGAGGTGGACACGACCTTGGTGTCTCCATACCTGAAGCCCACCAGTGCTTCGGTGCGGCTCACACACTTCTTCACAACCCCTGCAAGGAATCAAAGAAAATATAAAATGTAAAGACAAATAACATCCCTTCCCATAGGCTTGTGCCATCTTTCCGGCCACACTGAGTTATAACACTTTGCCTGTTTCAATCAGTGTGCCCCTGTGATTTCTCCAGCAGATAATGTTGGGTACCACAGGATGCCTACTGGGTTGACCAACTCAAAATGGTGATGCACATGCCTGGTCTGGGCACCCGCTGAGATGAGAACTGGCGAGAATGGACGAGATCTGTTCATCCTGCACCATCAGCCTCCGTCCTGACAGGAACATGCATCCTGGAAATAAAGATCCTCTTCCCGAACACCTCCTACCACCTGATATTTTCATTTACTTTAGCCCTATTTTCTTCCATAACACTTAAAGATAGAAAATACATGTTGTTAATTAAATTGTGAAAGTATAAAGGAAATATAAACTCCTATCCAAATCG